ATCCTCTCACCTCAGCCTCCCAAAGGCGCGGGATTACAGGCTGAGCCACCGAGCCCGGCTTGCAATAAACTTTTAAAATTAGCCAGGGTCAGATGTGGTGGCTCAAGCCTGTAATCCCAGCACTTTAGGAGGCTGAGACAAGAGAATTGCCTGAGCCCAGGGTTTCAATACCAGCCTAGGCAACTTGGTGAGACCTTGTCTCTACAATAAATCAAAAATTAGCCAGGCATGGTAGCGTGTGCCTGTAGTTCCAGCTACTTGGAAGGCTGAGGCAGAAGGATTGCAGGAACCCAGCGAGTCAATGCTGGGGTGACTGTGAGTATGCCACTGCACTTCCACCTGGGTGACGGCATGAGACTCCGACTCAAAATAAAAAGAAAAAAAGGAAAACCTCTGAGGACGTGGCATTTGAGCTGAGACCCATAGGAGATGAGGGAGGGAGCCATGGACATGTCTGAGGGAAAAGCATTCTGGAGAGAGGGAACAGCCAGTGCAAAGGCCCTGAGGCAGGAATATGCCTGGCGTGCTGTAGAGATAGCCAGGAGGTTGGTGTGGCTCCAGCGGAGGTGGGGTGGGGGGAGAGTGGGAGGAGGTGAGGGCAGGGAGGTGAAGTGGCAGAAGGTGCACGGCCTTGTGGGCCAGAAGACTTTGGCCTCTCGGAGTGAGGTGGGAGCCATGGAGGGCTCTGAGCAGAGTGGGGACCTGACTTGGGTGCTCACAGACACCCTCTGGCGGCTGGGGAGGGGACCGTCTGTGGAGGCAGGACAAGGGCGGGAGCCGGGGGACCTGAGAGGAGGTGACTCTACTGGTCTAGGAGTGAAATGATGGGGCCGGGCCAGGTAGGGACCGAGGCTGGGGGTGAGGCAGGCAGGCTCCGGTTGGGGAGTCCTGGAGCAGATTGGTGGGGACCCAGGTGGCTGTTACACCTGAGATGCTCCCCTATGGTCATCCATGGGACTGTGGGATACTTAGGTCTGGGGTCAGCAAAGAGATCTGGACAGGGACTTGGTACTGGGGAGTCTGCTCTTCTATAAAGGATTTTGGACAGTGGCTCATGCTTGTAATCCCCGCAATTTGGGAGGCCAAGGCCAGAGGATGGATCACTTGATCCCAGGAGTTCAAGACCAGCCCGGGCAACATCGTGAGACCCCATCTCTACAAAAAATTAAAAAATTAGCTGAGCATGGTGGCATCTGTCTATAGTTCCAGCTACTTGGGAGGCTGTGGTAGGAGGATCGCCCCAGCCCAGGAGGTCGAGTCTGCAGTGAGCCATGATGCACTCTGCTCCGGTCTGGGCCACAGAGCAAGACCCTGTCGAATAAATAGATAGTTGCCGGGCTCGGTGGCTCAGCCTGTAATCTCACGCCTTTGGGAGGCTGAGGTGAGTGGATTACCTGAGCCCGTGGGTTTGAGACCCGCCTGGGCAACTTGGCGAGACCTCATCTCTACAATGAATAAAAAATTAGCCGGGCATGGTAGCGCGCGCCTGTAGTTCCAGCTACTTGGAAGGCTGAGGCGGAAGGATCGCCAGAGCCCAGCAGGTCGAGGCTGCGGTGGCTGGGAGAGCGGCCACTGCACTCCAGTCTGGGCAACAGAGTGAGACTCCAACTCAAAAAAAAAAAAAAAATAGATAGATTTTTAAAAATCTATTTACTTACTTGGCAGAGCTGAGAAGAGGTTGGGTAAGAAAGTAGGTCAGAGTCTCAAGGCCCGCAAGACTGTATGAACAAAAGAAGGGTAGCCCCAATTCTGGAAGGCTGTGCAGACACGGGTTCAGAGGAGGGACTTCAGCAGCCTCACCTACTGTGGGATGTGCTGTCGGGGCTGGCTTTTATCTGAGTGACCACCTCAGAGCTGGGCCTCTCTCTCCCAGCGACCCCTTGCTCCACTCACCACCCACCCCCGCCCCGCCGCGTGCATTTCCTGGCCCGAGGGCTTTTTCTGGTCACTGGAGGCATTTTGCAGGCCTAAGCAGCACGCTGGCCATGTTACTTCTCCCAGGGAATCAAGGCCCCTTGG